GTGGGATCCGAACTGGGGCCCTACTGCTCAGAGCTGGCGTCCCAAGCCAGCTCTTAACCAATGTGCCACTCGGCCGGCCCTAAACTTTCCTTTCAAAACTAACATTTTATAGGAAAATGTTTAAATAAATAATAGGACATCTGGTACTTGGATATGCAAAAAACAAAAAGTGCCAGACAAAAAGCCAGCATGAAGTGATACACACAAAAAATTAAACTTTGTGAAACATGATGTTATGGCATCAAAAATGGATAAAAAGTGTTTATATACCATTTTGCTTAAATTCTTATACTTTGCTTTTTAAAAAACTACAAGCTTTCAAAAAGTAAGTTTAGTGTTTTGTTTGTAAATAGCTACATATACAAGAGAAATGGTCTGGGGCAACTCTTTCAAATATTTCACTAATAACTCAAAGCCAATAGGGACAGTCTTTAGTCCCAATTATGTGAAAAGTCCAACTAGATATAATCACCAACATCATTTCCTCATTTAATATTTCTTAAAGCATCGTTTCTTCTCCAAAAAATCTTGGTATACTATAAATTAATTTTGAGTTTAAGTTTGCAACTTATAGATCTGGTGAAAATCCCCTTGTGGCAATTTTGTACATTATTATCGTTTTTTTATGTCTCTCACACTGGTTATATTTCAATGTCCTTGCTCTTTATACTTTATGCCTTTAACCAGTTGTCTGTAATAGGTGTAAGCCAGTGGTTTTCAAGGGATGGAAGGGAGAGCAATTTTGCCCCTCCCAGGGACATTTAGCAATGTCTGGAGACATTTTCAGTTTTCACAACCCAGGGGACAGGAGTACTACTGGAATCTAGTGGGTAAAGCTGCTAAATATCCTACAGTGCACAAGACAGCCCACCACAACAAAGAATTGTCTGGCTCAAAACGTCAATAGCGCTAAGGTTGAGAAATCCTTGTACTGTGTAAACAGTATATGTCTATGAAAGATAGTAATTTAAAGCCATGAATTGGTCAAAGCTATCATGGAAGCTGGTAGTAATTACTCGAATAATAAAATGAATGAGCTACCATCTCCTGAGCAGACTCATCTCCTTCAGCCTCTGCATGTGTACTCAGAGGCTCTCAATGTTCCATTTTAAGCAGGGGAGAAATATGCAAATTTAAAGTATTATATCTATTGATCTAAAAATAAAATGAAAATAGACTCTATTACTGCCTTTACTAATGTGAAACTTTGGGGCTTTGCTGATCTGAGGGATGAGAGCATAGGCCAAATAGCTTAGAATTTCAAAAACTGAACTTGGGGAAGAGAAATCTTTCCTCTACAAAGGAGAGAATGACGCCAACTCACAAGAAAAAAATGAGCAATATAAAGGGCTTCTGAGAGCGTCCTCGTTACTAGGTCCATTCATCCCTGTGATTTGGTTACTGAGCCAGGAAATGGCTCATTTTTGCGTAGCTAACTTGAATTAGGGTTTTGTCATTTGCAATCCAAAGAGACCTGACTAATACACCACTGGATTAATATAGGCAATTTCAGGAATTAGCAATAATGCAATGAAATATGAATTTTGAACTTGAGATTGGGTCTTTGATTACAGGTTTAAGATACAAATCCTAAGCCACTCATTCAGCAAACATTTATACCTAGCAAATACCTAATATTCTGTGCAAGGTACTGGAAACATAAAGACAAATAAAAAATAGCCTCTCCTTTCAAGGAGCTCTCAGTCTAGTTGGGGAGACAGAAAAGTATTATATGGGAGGAGTGCTATGCACATCTTATCATGAGAGCCCTCAGTGGGGCACTAACTATATTGGTCAAGAATAACAGAGGTGGTGACTGCCTAAATTGAGTCTTGAAGGACATTATATCGGCAAAGCAGGGAGTAGGAAGGGCATTCTAGCTAGATAGAGCACTAGTAGGGGCTGAGTGAAGAGGAATAGTAGGGTAAAATCAAGACGCTGCTACCATGTTTCCCCAAAAATAAGACCTGGCCAGAGAATAAGCCGTAGCAGGATTCCTCCAGTATATGGAGGGCACACACCTCCATGAGGGTTTTATGATCTGTTTCAGGAAGAAGGGTGCCTTTTCCACAAACCCCTTCAGCTTAAAATATTCAGTATGCCAAGGTGCAATATTTTGGCACCTAAAATCATGCTATAGCTTATTTTCCTGCTAGGTCTTATTTTGGGGGAAACAGGGTAGTAGTGCATTATAGTGGAGTATGGGGTGCAAGGGGTGATGGGGATCGGAAAGCAGCCAGGAAGGAAGCTGGAATGGAGGGTGGGGTTGTGTCTTGAAGATCTTGATGAAAAATTGGGACTTTATCCCAAAAGCTTTGGGGAGTCACTAATGGCTCTTATGCAGGGGAATCATATGACGCATGTTAGTAATTTCTTTCCGTAAAATGGGGATAATAATAGGTACTTGGCAAGGTTGTTGCATAAATTATAGATAAATAAAATAGAACGTAAATTCCAGGTCAGTCTCAGGACTGGCTAGACAATACAGGTTTCCTACACACCAGGACATTGCAGACTGAGATGGGAGTTTTCAATGTCATCCTGGTACTTAAAAGACCCCAGTAGCCACTATGCAATCTTTTCAATATCTGAGGATTGGGGAATAAAGTGGTCTACAAGCACCCATGAACTAAGTTTTATATTAGACTTTTTTTTTAACTCAATAAATGTTCCTGGACTAAAAATTAATCTTAAAGAATGCTTCCTCTTAGCCACAGGGTGGCATAATAAGGCATAAATATTTCATTGCAACATAAAATATTAAATTAATCTTTTCTTTGTTAAAGGAAAGGCAGAGAGGGGGATAAGTGGGAAGAACAAGTTCACCTCAGGCTACCAAACAAACCATTGCAAGATTTCTCTCTGGTGCTTTAAGTCACTGGGCTGTGCATAATATTTCACTTTCTGCCAGATTTGAAGGGAGCCCTTACGCTCCTTATTTAGGTTAGTGACTTAGAAATTTTAAAGAGATGGAAAAAATTATTTGGAAAATGCAACCATTTAAAACTGGAATCCCTCAGTTTAAAGCAATTTATCTCACTGTCAGAGTGCTAATTTTGTGTTAAAGGCAGAGTTTACCTCAAATTAGAGGAAAATGCAAAACATTTGAAAGTGTAGCATTTTTTTATGCTAGAGTGTGGAAGCAATATCGATTTTTTAGTTACAACTCTTTCCTGTCTATTTTTTATCCAATAGACAGTTTTTAAGGCTTTAAATTAACCACTTAAACATATTTTTCATGAAAATGCTAATTGTTAACACTTTTCCAGGTAACCAAAAACCTTCAACAATTTAGATTTTTTTAAATAAAAAGGTTAAATAAACATATATGTACATATATTTGTATAGAAAACTTTAAATAGATTATATAAGAAGCTATTAACAGTAGTTTCCTCAAGGTTGGGATTGTCAAGTAGAGAGGGAGAGAGGAATTTGACTATTTCACTTTATATCCTTTGGTACAATCTGATGTTTCTCAATTTACATGAGCATGTATTGTTTTAATAATTAAAAGAATTAGATAAAATGAATAGTTTTCTAACTTATATATGCATAATCTTCACAGTTAGTAGCTATAAGTTTTCTCCTCTTTAAGGTATTATTTCCCAAATCACAGTATACCCACACATTAATATGTTCTATATATAGCTCCATTCAAAGATATGTAAATGACCTTGAAATCATATGCAATGTGTTTTCTGCAAGGGAAGGTATGACTGAATTATAGTACAAGGCACATGTATAATAATCCAGAAATTTCACAAAGAAAAGAAGGGTTAGCAGATATTTTTGTTACGTACAAATTTAGACACGGAGTAATTTTATGTTCCTATACATTTTTCTATTCCTATATACTTAACATTTGATATTAAAAATCAGATTACTTCTCCTACCACATTATGAAACCCCACTAATAGAGTTTTTTTATTTTCAATATGTAACAAGTGTCCAATTTATTTTTCCCAAGCAAACTAGTCGACTCAAAAAGTTAAACCTGATTCTAGATATTAGGCTCAGTGTGAGGCAAAATCTCTTGAAAATTCTCCAAAGATTGCTCTTTTAAAAACATTCTTAATTATGTTGTCATTTATAAACACCATGTTCAAAACAGCTGCATTTTACTCCATAACCTTGGGCAAATTATTTAATCTCACTAAGCTTTAATTTTCTCATCTTTAAAATGGGAATAATAATAGGACCTAGTTCATAAGGTTATCATGAAGATTAAATGTGATAGTGCATGCAAAATGCTTAATATCGCCTGTGGTACATAGTAAATGCTCAATATTAACTATTATTTTGCTTACATTTTCACTTATGTTTAATAATACTAATATTTCCCAACATAAACTCTAAGCTTTTCAACTATGCTTCTTTAAAACTCTTAATAGAGCATATTCTTCCCATTTTTTATATTACTAGTTTAATTTTAACCCCTAGAACAATTAATCTCATCTTTTCTGCTATGTAGCACAGATAAAACCAACTGTAAAGTATATTTATTTCAACTCCTGTATTTAATATGTATCAGTTAGCTAACATTCATTTAGCTTGCTATATAGCTAAGTACCACTAAGAATAGCAATAATAACAACAAATACATATTTGAAATGGTCACATCTTAACATAATTCTGAAATGGTTGCATGTTGTCCATAAAAGGGTTTCAACAATTAAATTTATGAAGTACTGTTTTCCACAGAATGAAAGTAAACTGATATTCTCATACTCTAATGTATAATTGTAGATTTAAAAATAGTTAAATAATTTAAAAAGTGCAACTTTTAAGGACAATAACTGGAGTAATACAAGAATATTAGCTTAGATAAATAAAAATACACTACTTTAAATATGAAATTTGAGGATGAACTTATGAGTTCAACTAAAATTAGTTGATTTCAATAGTTTTTTAAACAGAAGATACAATTCTTAGTTTATTTTTATTTTAAACTCCTGCTCCTTATATTCTGAAGCTACAATATGAAGCCAGCTGTACAGTACCTTGATCAGGTTGTGTCCCACAGAGTAGACAGCTGCTAAATTGTCTTTCTCTCCAGGGGCATGTATACCTGTCCCATAGCCATGCCAAGCAACTAGATATGGGTTGTGAATTGTAATCCAGTATTTGACACGGTCCCCAAATGTCTGGAAACAGTATGTGGCATAGTCATTGAAGATATCTATTATGGTTTCATTTTTCCACCCCCCATATTTTTCTTGCAGTGCCAAAGGCAAATCCCAGTGGTATAAAGTAACTATAGGTTCAATGTGTCTAAGTACTAGAGCGTCCAGAAGAGTATTATAGTACTGCAGACCCTTTGCATTGGCAACTGCTACTATTCCGTCAGGGAAGAGCCTTGGCCAGGAAATTGAAAATTGATAAAAAGAAACTCCTATAAAATCCAAAGCCGACAAGTCTTCTTCCAGAAAAATGTAACTGTCACTGGAACTATTGCTGTTGACATTTTTAAGGTGTGTATGGACGAAATGGTCCCATATAGAAGGACCTTTTCCATCGGTCTTCCAATTCCCTTCCACTTGAAATGCTCCAGTCCCAACGCCCCAGGAAAAGTTTTTAGGAAAAGTGTCATAGAGAAACAGCTGACTTTCATTTACCGGACTATAATTAGGATTTTTAGACCATATAGCGCTTCCGTCTCCGGAGAATCCAGTAACAGCTCCTAGGAGAATAAATGCTGACAGGATGACAGATCTTTGCAGTCCTGCGTTGGACATTGTTTTCCTATAGCATATGTTTCTTTCTTCGTACTGAAGAAAATCCATTCATTCCCTGGAGATCCTGCTGCACAGACTGGCTTCATTTGCCACTAACTGCTTGACTGTCTTATCAACGCTTCAGTAAAAGCTTGTGATTGTAAAGCTCTGTCAATGATTAGCTTGAACTGTGAGACTCAGGATGGGTCATGGAGAGCAACGTAATTTGAGGGAGGTGGCTCTATTACAGCCAGCAACACATTTCATTCTCTTATTATAGGAAAAATTAGATGAAAATGCATCAGTGAAAATTGTTCAAATGTGTAATTAAAACATATATCAACAGTGAATAAAAAATGCCGTATTTTCTTTGTAGCCTTTCATATTGACCCAAATCTTTTCCTGAACGTTTTGAATATTATTGCCTAGAATATATGCTTTTTCTATTTTTATAGCTTTTGAGTGGTAATTTTATTATTTCAAATTTCAGGAAAACTTACATGCAAAAACCTTATATGCAAATAAATAACATTCCTATATGCCAATAATAAAGAATTAGAAAAAAAGAATTAGAAAACAGAAGATATACTTCCACAAAGATTGTAACACATCTAAGAAAAATATTATTAAATGTTACTTATTTTAAGAAAATTATTGATATGTATTGATAAATTTGAAAAAGATAAATGAAAAATATATAGCACTTTTTGGGTGGGAACATTGAATACTTTCCAATTTAATTAATAAATTTAATGCACTTTTAACTCAAATCCTCTACTCCCAAATTTTAAACAAAATTATGAAAGTTAACTTGAAGAATAAATAGGCAACAATTACCAAAAAATCTGAAAAAGAAAATAGTGAAGGCATAGACTGCCTTCAGATATGAAAACATAAAAAACCACAATTTAAACAGCATGATTCTGAAATAAGAATAAACAGGAAGAAATATTGTACTCCAAATAACCTTGAAAAAATTTAATGTTTTAAATATTCAAAGTATCACATACTAATGAGAGGCAGAGTGGTTACTAGTTTGGCCTCTGGAGTTAGACTGCCTGAGTTTAAATATAGCTGTGTGACTAGGGACAAGTTATTTAACTTTTCTGCGATTCTGTTTTCTTATGTAAGAAAAGGCATAAAAATAGTATCTATTGTGTGGATTGTTGTGAGGATTAAATGAGTTAATGCATGTAAAGCACTTAGAACAGAGACTGACATATAGTAAGTGCTCAATAAACATTACTCGCATTTTTATGTTAAAGGGAAAGATTATCCAGGAAGTGATGCTAGGATTTAGCATAAAAGACACTCTGTTCTGGCTCTTCCCTACATTCTTAGCTTCATTTCTCATCAGTTAACTACAGGTAGCACCCTTCCCCTCAGCTATAGCAAATGACTTTTAATAAGTCATTAATAAGTAGTATATACATCACCACCAGTCGCATCCCTGTGCGTTGGTACTTACGCTCTCGGCCTAGGCTGTGTTCCCCCAGTTCACTAGCTCATGTCTATCTGTTTTTCAAAGCTTCAGTGCTTCCTCTGGAAAGCATTTCTGACTCCTCAGTTTAATTTATTTATTTAAATTTTAAAAAGTGCTTACAGTTTATCAATCCTTTTGTGAAAAATCTGCACAACCAGTGCAGATAGAGTCACTGCAGAACCTAGACTCCTGTTGTCCGATCTCCAGCTCACTTTTTGCCAGTACCAATGTTGGCCTTTGCAGTCCCCTTGACCTTCTTCATTCTGTTCTTGCATTCCTTTCACTGTTTTCTTGAGATCTGTTTCTTCTCATACAGGCCATGTCTTGCTAGTCTATGCCTGTGTTCTTTTGTGTGTGTGTGTGTGTGTGTGTGTGTGTGTGTGTGTGTGTGTGTGTGTGTGTGTGTGTGTGTGTGTGTGTGTGTGTGTGTGTGTGTGTAATCCAAGGAATTGTAAATTATGCTGAAGCCAGTTGTCTCGCTGTCACCAAAATGGGTTTTAAATCCAAATACAGAGATGACGTCTGGTGTGCTCTTGTACATTTTGGCTCGTTTTCCCCCAATTTTTGTCTTAGGAACTGTTGCCTTGTCAGGCAGGGTAAAGGACGTCCATGACTGTTTCTGTTAGAGCAGTCAGTTGGTCATAAACTTCCTGGTCCAGACAGTTACTGTGTTGCTCATGTTGGTGGTTGAGCCACAGGCAGCCAGGGAGGAAAAAAGCCGGTTTGATTTGATTTAGATGGATCTCCTCTGTGTTCCCATGGCAGCCCGTGCTTTCTCTATTATGACAGTCATCACACAATAAATCAATAAATCTCACAATAAATTTATCTGTATCCTTTGTTCAACTGTTCTCTCCCCCCCCACCTACTGCCCCCCCCCAAAAAAAAACAGGGACCATGACTGCTTGGTTCTCTGTTGAATATATGAGGCCTAGTTGTCACTAAAGTATGCAAGTGTGTTTAATGAATGAATGTACCTGTAGTATACTATATATACCTCTATCACTGCATTTATCACATAATCCTGGAATTGTTTGTCTCCTCCACTAGAATATAAGATTATCTCTTATCTAAATTTTTACCATTGCTTATCACAGTAAATGCTTAATCATTGTCTATTGAATGAATGGAGTTGGTACATTTAATTCACTGCTTATAAAATAAAAACTTTCAAGGTTTATTGAGATAATCGACATATAATGTATTAGTCTAAGGTGTACAACATAATAACTTGATATATATATATATATATATATTGCAAAATTATTGCTAAAAATAAAAATTTTTAATGTAATAATTTATACCCTCACAAATACATTTAATTCAAAAATATATAGCCACAGAAATGGTCAAGATGGTAAATTTTATGTTATATGTATTTTACCACAATTAAAAAATATATAGACCCACAGAAAACTAGAATGTAGAAGTAAATATTAAATTATATAAATATATAGTTTATATGATCATATATAAATAATTTAGCTATAATTAAAATATATAAAAAATAAAAATTGAGACAAATCACAAACTTGGAAAATATTTGAGCAAGTCTAGAAGTCAAATGGCCAACTTTTTATTACATATGTAATTCATGGATATCAATAAGAAAAGCACTCTAAATTTCTAACAAATAAATGGTCAAAAAACATAAATAAAAATATACAAAAGAGGAAATGCAATTGTATAGTTAAAGAAAAAAATTCAAATCACCAGTAAAAACACATACAAAATATATATAAACACATATAAAACCACAAATAAAAATAACTGTAAAATTATAAAAAATAAAAATAAGTGAGGTAAATCAATGTTGATGATATTGTAAGACATTGTTAATTAGAATATAAATTTGTACAATACTTGATCTATGAATTCAATGCAATAAAAATCCCAGCCAGTTAATTTGTGGATATTGACAAATTGATCTTAACTTTACATGGAAAGGCAAAAGTCCCAGAATAGCCAACACAATTTTGAAGGACTGACAATCTAAGAACTGATGTTACCTGACTTCAAGACTTACTCTAAAGGACGGTAATCAAGGCAGTGTGGTGAAAGAACAGGCACACAGAGCAGTGGAATAGAGTAGAAAGCCCAGGAAGACACCCACACAAATATAGTTAATTTATCTTTCACAAAGGAGCAAAGACAATTCAATGGAGAAATGGTAGCCTTTTCAACAAATGGTGCTGAACAATTGGACATCCACATGCCAAAAAAAAAAAAGGAATCTAGACCCAGGCCTAACACCTCAAAAAAATTAATTCAAAGTGGATCATAGACCTAAATGTAAAAGGCAAAGCTATAAAACTAAAACTTTATAGAAGAAAATCTAGAAGACGTTGGGTTCAGAGATGACTTTGTACATAGAATTCCAGAAGCACCACCCATAAAAGAAAAGTGAGGAGTTGGACTTCATTAAAATAAAAAAGCTTCTGCTTTGTAAAAGACACTGTTAAGAGAATGAAAAGATAAGCCACAGACTAGGAGAAAAATCTTTGCCAAACAGATAAATGACAGATAAAAGACTGGTATCCAAAATGTACAAAGACCCTTAAAACTCAATAATAATAATTTAAAAAAACAATTAAAAAATAGGCAAAAGACCTGAACAAACATCTCAGTAAAGAAAATACACAGATGGCAAATAAGCATATGAAAAGATGCTTCACATCATATGTCATTAGGGAATTACAAGTTAAAGCAACAATGAGATACCATTACATACCAATTAGAATGATCAAAATCTTTTATTTATTTATTTATTTAAAAATTTATTTTATTATTTTTAATTTAATTTAATTTATTTTTTATTATTAGTTTCAGGTGTACAGAATAATGCAATAGTTATCCTTTTCACCCCTCACAAAGTAACAACCCCCTCCCCCATCCATCACCCTCCCAACCCCGATATCATACTATCTATTACAGTTCCATTGACTCCATTCCCACGCTCTGCTCCATATCCTGTGACTATATGTATATATAATTATAGTTGACATACAATATTATTCAACATCAGC